TATTTTATTTTATTTTATTTTATTTTATTTTAATTTATTTTATTTTATTTTATTTTATTTTATTTTATTTTATTTTATTTCATTTCATTTCATTTTATATTATTTTATTTTATTTTTTTTTTATTCTAATTTAAATTGATTTAGTTTATTTTATTTTAATTTAGTTTGATTTATTTATTTGTTTTTATGTTTAATTATTATTATTTTTTTACTTTAAATAATATTAATTTACTTTTAAATAATTTTTTTTACTTTTTAACTATTATAATTTGTATTTCATTACTTTTGTGTATGTATCGTAATTATTTTAATTTATTCTTAATTATTTATAATATTTTTTTATTATAATTTAATTTATCATTAGAGTATATCTTTTAGCCTTAAAATATTCTCCAAATATTTTTGGTTTCAGTATTAATAAGCAATTTCACGGGAATAAGTTTTTTCGATTTTAATTTGCGGTGGAAAGGTTTGGCATGGAGTCGTGCGCGTTGATCAAGAGGGTTTTCAATCTTTTTTTTTTTTGTAAGAAAAAATTAAAACAAAATAATTATTCCCACACCACAAGGCAAACAATTTGAAAGCAAGCTTTGGTTATTGCTTAAATAATAATTGAAAAAATATTGTATATATTATTATATTTATTATTTCCGAATACGAAAAAAGCAAAAAAAAAAATTGATTTGGTTATTCGCCTTCTTTATAATAAAATATGAAAATATTTTTTGTACAAGTAGGAAACAAAATTATTATTTTCGTTAACCCATAAACAACATAAGGGAGCATAAAAGCATTTAAAAGCATTAGTACTAATTAATAAACTATATTTACCGTATGCCGTCATCTCGACCAGGTGCGTGACTGGTATCGTAGAAGGATAATTTCCGATTGGCAAACACTAGATTCAGCAATGGAGCGGCGCGTAAGCGTTTCTGCAGAAAATGTGTAAAAAATAATAAACATTAATATTGTAAGTAACTGATATTTGAGACCAGTAATGTGATAGGAAAAGTGTGATACATTACTGGTCATATATATGGAAGTATGTGTATACAATATTTATTAATGTAAATATACAAATATTATTTCCAACGCATTCTCGCTTGTTTTGTTTCGTTTTTAATTTTTTATGTTTTATTTTTATTTTTTTATTTCCATTCTGTTTCTTGTGCTTGTCTTTGTAATTTGCAAAATGAGCAAAACTGCTGGCTGGGTCGCGCCCTGTCTGAGCCGATTACCGATTACTGTAATTTTCCGCACATTGCCAATGCGCTGAGGTTGAATGTCAAATAGGTCATCGACGCCTGCATGCCTTGCGAGGCCGGCAAACTGCGTAGAGTAGCAAAAGCATAGAATTGACGGAAGCGTTATGAGAGAGTGTCAGTATTTGATATTTATTTAGTGCATAAAAAAGCTGTCTGTGTTTTACCTACATTTATACATACATACGTACTTTACATTACTATCGTTTTATACCTTCAATGGAAAATTTTTATTAATTTTATTAACCGAATACTAATAGACCAGCTATTCATCGTTATCCTTACAATATCCTTCAATCAATCCACAAACATTTCTACACTTGAACTGCCAATGAATTTCCGGTTCAACAATTAAGTTAATTTGTCTATCATTTTTATCGTTCGCCTTAAATTAGATCCATATAAATATATTAGAATCGATAGCTGTCATCATTTCAAATAGCTTTCCATTGTCTGCTATTATGATTTTAGCAACAAAATGTCATAATAAATAACAACAACTACCACAACAATTAATGACAAAAGACAGCGATAGAGAGATACCAATGTCTGTGTGAATATATTGCCAATAATTTTGCATATACATCGTACATATAACAAGAAAAATGCTCACTAAATGCATATAAGTACATATATACATATGCACATATGTATATTCCAACTGTAAATAAATTTCTTTATTGATCGATATTGACTTATAAATATAAAATAAAAAAAATGGTGAAAATAATATTTATGTACATACAGTCGCTTTATGAGCATATACGTATGTATATATAACTATTTTTAAATATGTAAGAGGGGATTAACAAAAGTTCGGACAATAAAATAAACAAATCCTTAGATTTTTGAACGATTTGCGGTCTTGCGTCTTGATTTTTTTCCAACAATTGGAGGGACCTACAGTATACACTAAGCCGCCTCCGAAGGGCTGATGGTTTTTTTTAATTTTTTTTACGAGGAGCCTTTATTTCATGTGCGAAATATACTCGGAGGGGTAGAAATCCCCTTCCGAGGAGAGACCCCAATTAAATAGATAGCTGAGGATAGGTCAGACGAAATTCCAACGAAATCTCTTCGGGTTTCGGCGTAATTTACAGCTAATAAAAATATTCAGCAAATGCCAAATTTGATATGGAACGTTTGGAAGGTGTTTAAAGACTATTTATAAGTGGTTCCGAAAATTCCAGACCGCACATTTTTCAGAGAGAACGAGCCCCGAGAAGTTCAACCAAAATCTTCCACTGATGACGTCACTGTAGCTCTTGTGAAGTTCGGAACTGACGAAGGCCCACGATTGACACAAGAAATGATTGGTTATTTCAAAAAACTAAATATATTTACGACGAAGGAGATAATTAATGCGGTTAATGCTGAACTTGATAAGCTTAAAAAGCAAGATTTTAAAGACTGTTTTTAAAAGTAAATCCATAGAAATCAATGGTGATTATGTAGAGAAAATAAAAAAGCACAAAGATTACAAAAAAATTAAAAAAAAAATTTTTTTCTGGTCAACTTATCGAACTTTTATTCACCCCCGTAGAATAAAAATATTGTACATACTTATTTATATGCAACAGAATTTTAGAATGTATGTGTGTACCTATGCTTGGGTATACTTTTCTCGTTTTTTGCTTTGACCTTCATTTGTTAGCTCAATTTCATTTGCGAAGATGAAAACAAATTGAGGAAAAAGTAAGAATTTTTATTTTATTTTTTTTTATTTTTTTGTAGGGATCCTATTCAAATGACTCGGAGCGACACTTAAAAACAAACAAAAAAATTATGAAATCTTGTTGCACTTTCTAAATTCCCGTCTAAACAATAAAATACCCCAAGCAAGTTTTATTCAAACCATTTGCTGCAGAATGTGCCTCGAAAACTTCAATTTTTAGATAAAAAAAATTAGAAAATATTTATTAGAATTATTTTTCGCGTTCGTAGTCTCATTTTTCTTCTTCTCTTCACGATAACTGAATTTCAGACATAGAAAATTGGCAACCTCGCAATTTTTTCGTTTACGGAATTTAGAAAAAAAGATTAAAAAAATAAGAAATTAAACGTTCGTTCACTGGTAGTTCAATATTCAAGGATTTGAATACCTTGACCATAAATTATAATAAAAATGGCTGCACCACCTCAGGATATAAAGGTCCAGGAAACGAGCTGTTACGGCAGGTTCTGACCAGATGGAAAGGGAGGTCAGATGAGTAGATTTTAAGACGCATGCAATGAGGTGTAGGTGACGTATAAGGTCTCATTGCATGAGCGGCATACATACCCCCCGTATGTCGGGGTCAAGTCTTGATAATTACGAATAAAATCGATTTCTCCGCCTGCAATAGTTGTTGAACGTCATTCAGTGGAAGAAAGTTAAAGAAGATGTTAACAGACTTCATGCGAAATGCATTTAAAACAATTTGGTACGTCGTCCAGTCCAACGGTTCTTGTACGTGGTGCTGAATCGAATCCTTTTCGTCGAGCACTCCCTTCCTAATGTGCTTCCCTACGATAGCATAACAGAAGATATTGCTTGCACTGCATTGTATCCTCAACTCGTAGTTGTTTCGATATGCAAGTGATGCTTACGGTCCTAAAGGTGGTGTTCTGCCAGGCTATTCCCAGCGTCCAAATCAGGGCAGTGTAGTTTAGGTCCGGACGTCTAATTGCCTTGTGTGTTGCCAGCAACGATTTTTTATCTTTTCGCCGGGTGCTGCCGATTAACGCTTTGAAGAGGGCCTGTAGTTTCAGTTGCCTATGGGGTGAAAGCATACAGGTAATCGAATACGACTCCCGGCAGCTTCACGTTGTTAATTTATACCCTCGATTTTCACAACGAGGTCGAGTCGGTACTCCTTCGTTCAGCTGGTGAAAAGGATGGACGAGGATGTTTGATTGGCGTGTAGTGAAGAAGTAAGAAATGTTGGAGAGATAGATGTTTACTTTTGAACATAGATCTTCAACATCATGACCAGATGCCAATATCAAGCAATCATGGGCATTTGAAATCAGTGAAATACCCGCTGATAAAGAGAGCTCTCACTACAGTTGGTTCTACGCACTGAAGTTGACCCCGATTTCATCCGACCAAGCGCTGTCACCCTTTCGACGACCAAACGCCATTTAGGTCAACAGATAACCCCGTTTTCGTAAGTATTTAGCGCGGTAGACATTATTTTCGATCTGTAGTGATTTGTAGCTACTATTTTTAGACCGAGTTTATTAACAAAATATGCAAAAAAAAGGCTAAAGATATATTTATTCTAGACACAAAAATTAATTTTTAATTTAATTAATTTTTTAAGACGAAATTCATGTATTAGTAAGGAATCAAGGAAATTGAAAAACATTTTGCTTTAAAAAAAAATGGAATCGCTAAATGTAAATGATAATAAGCCTGACTTCACTTCGATTAAATGTCGCAGTATTCTTCGAAAATCATGGCGTAGTGATCAGAAGTTCTCACCACAAGATCGTACAATCAACAGTTTGCGTGAAGTAATACTGGGAAAAAATGACCGGAATTTTGAAAGCCAAATTGTGGCTTTTTATGAGGGTAAAAAAAACTGTATCGCCATCGATCAAAATGCAACAGTAAGTGAGTTTGACAAACCAAAACCGCGATCGATTGAAGCAAACAACAAATATGACTCGATCGCAATCGCTGGAGCTGAAACTGTCTTTCAATTAGAGGAATCGTCAAAACGAGTCATCGAACACACCACTGAAAGTCGCGAATTTCAAAGGGAACTCGTTATCAGTCAATCGTGATCGAATGATCCGACACAAACGAGTTTTTTGTACTCTACTTTGCATAATTATCATGAATACTTGTAACGAAGTTAAAGAGAGCTTTGCTATCCAATTATGGAACCTCTGAACAATGAAGCCTTTGGATGTCTCACACATATTGTAAATAAGGCCGAACGGAAGCAGACTAGGTCTTTCAACTTCTCACTCATGCCTACTTCCAGACATTACACATAGGCTTAACCCACAGCGCTGTTTTCTGTAGAAAATTTATGAATATAATATATATAAATATTTCATTAAAACAAAAAATAAAAATTACAATTCTTTGTGAATAGACCACATATGTATGTGGCTTAGGTACTGGTACATATATATTATTATACACACATATGTATGTATATTCGTTCTCAAAGCAATATTGAAGGAACTTGTTTTTCAAAGTAGCTAAAAAATGCAACTGTTTCAAAGTCAAAGTCAAAAATATAAAAATAAATGAGAAATCAATGAAATTAATAAATAAACGAACAAAGTAAATAGATATAAATGATACACATATGTGTACATACACACATATCTAATTGGCAAGCAGAAAATTAATTTCAAGACCAAAGTTCATATTGAAATTTTTAAATAATTTCACTTTTTTATTTTTAATTTTTTTTTAAATACAAGACAAAAGACAAAATAGATATTTAAATCTTTTTCTACAATACTATTAATTTTTTCATTGGATTGGCTTTTGAATAAAGGGAATGTTTGATTTTACTATAAATTTCTTAACAAATTTTCACTGAAAATAATGAAAAGATATAATTATGTATTCACACAGGCAACTAATTGGCAATTAAATTAATTTCGCAATATGGTTAAATAATTGTAATTTAATTTTGTTAAATGTATAAAACATTTTTGGCTTT